GCTACTAGGAACAAGAAGCTACTAGGGGCTCCTGGCCTTACTACTAGAAGCAAGAAGCTACTAGGTAGGAGTAAGGTACTAGGGGTTTTGGGATCGCTACTAGGAACAAGAAGCTACTAGGGGCTCCTTACTACTAGGAGCAAGAAGCTACTAGGAACAAGGGCATCGCTACGAGGAGTAAGGACGCTCTTTTTTTTCAAATCCAGCAATTCAGGCGAACCGCACCAACCATCAGTGTTTCAGGGGCTGCTCGCAAGCGGCCAGCAAGGAACATCACCATTTCTAGGTCATCATCATGACCATAGGGCTCATCATAAACTTGTATCCAAGAGGGGCTGTAGCAATGTTCTTCCAAAAAGCTCTGCAAGCGAGAGATATGCTGAGCAAATACTTCCGGATGTCCCTTGTAATCATCAGTTTCCAGCCAAAGATCTAGTGACTGCAAGCAAGTCTCCTAAGTGCACACAATACTTACAAAGCTGACTGAACACTGCAGCTGCGACTGAACTGAAAAGCAAACACTCGCGAATCCAAAGGATGCGCCTGCTGCTACTCTGTGGCGTGCAAAATGGAACAATAGAAACATACACCAACCATGACTGAAAACACAATTCAATACAGCAAGGAAGAGTGGCCGAGGAGGACTGTCCTACACCTGATCCAAGGGTCCACAGTGAACGGTTCGTGCTTCATGTCTTTAAAGCGCTCTGCCCATTCAAAAAGCTCTTGCTTCGTCGTGGGAATCTCCCTGTAAGTGTCAAACCTGTACCACGTGTAGCACTCGGGCAGGGTGGTTTCCCAATTTTGCACGCAGAAAACCTTAGATACAAGTCGGGATTGGGCTTGGCACACACGCACACAAGCATGATGCTCTGCAACAATAGTCAACAATAGTTGGAATACGAGTGAGCAAGTCAACAAAACAAAGTGAAATTTGAATCAGGGAAAAGCCTGCTATTTCCATAACTAGCAGGAACAATCGTTTTCAGGAACTCTTCAGTCGTTATGCATGGAGGGTCTTTACGAATCATGGTCAAATGGGTCGAGCCGTCTTCTGGACCCAAATGTGTCGAGACGTTGTCTCCATCCTCCAGCTCGATCTCAGCGACGATTCGCTGCAAAAAGGCAGGAATGCCCAGTTTGGCCTCGAGACGTTCCTGAGAAATCCCATGCTGCAACCAGCTTCGGCTTCAAACGGCACCACACCAGCAGTTTTGAGGAGCGAAAAACAAACCTGGCAGTGCTCCACTCACTCTCTGATACAAACAAAAATGGACAACATTTACCGAGGCACTTTCACAGATTTCACAAGGTAGGGCGGAGCGATCTGAATTTCAATGCTATTGCCTGACATCATGTCTACCACTACAGTCTTGTCATCAACTGCTTCTGCAGAATCAGCAGCCTTTGCGACCACATCTACAGACAAGGCAGGGATATGTGCGTCTTCAAAGAGGTAGCTTTCGAAGAAGACCCTCGTCTCTGTGTCGTGTGTCACGGCTTGGATGTGCCCAAAGTCAATGCTCTTCCAAAGTGATTCCAGTTCATGTCGAATCCGTTCTGACGGATGCCCATCATCTTCACCCGTGTCACCCATGCGGGTAGCGTCAGTGCTGCACTCTGCGCACGAGAGAGCTGTACGAAGCAGTCGTTCGTCTGCTTTTTGAAACGGATCTGCAGCCAAATGCTCAAAGGACGCTTCTGAGTTTTGAATCATGACCACTCTTTTGACCAATTCAATTTAATATTGTATTGTATATACATTATATATATTATCAAAGGAAATTTAGTGTGCAAAACTTCCGTGTTACGGACATTCAACAGCTGTTCAATACAGCACTCATCATACACCACTCATCATACACCACTCATCATACACCACTC